CCTCCTTTATCACTTCTATCTCCTCTCCCTCCTCTTCCCTCTCTCCTCTTCCTCCTCTACCTCCTCTTCTTCATCCACCTCCCCTGCCTCCTCTGCTGTTTCAGCACCTCGGACAGTGACCTCTCTGATTGGCTGGAGTGGCTCGGGGACCAATAGTATCAGAGCTGAGCAGCAGCAGCATCCTGGCCTCAGCCAATCAGAGGGCTCCGTTTCTCTCCTGCATCCAACCCGAATAACTGCAGATGCCCGCATCTCTCTCCGTCTCTCTCTCCCCCTCTCTCTCTCCCTCTCTCTCTCTCTCCCCCTCTCTCTCGCTGAGGGTTTAAGCTCACATCTATTTTTGGATTTCATAGTGGCCATCTTTCCTCTCTCGATAAAGGTCCGTGTTGTTTTGTGTGTTTTCCTTGTTGTGTGTGAGCCGGAGGTTTGTGAGCTGTCATCACTGCAGCAGCGGGACATTAGAGATGGTCGCTTCTCAATGGAAGAGTCGTTTCCAGTTCCAGGGGTGAATCCACATCTGGTGTGCATCTGTATTCCCACCGAGGAGCGGATGAAGATTTGAGGAGCGGGGCAGCAGCCGGGACACAGACCCGTGAGCCTGCCGCTCTTCAGGGTTCACATCTCTGCAGGGACCGATCCGCCTTCACACCCCGGGACCCTGCGGGCTGCGGGCGGTGCGGGAACCAGCGACCTGCGGTGCGGGTGGAGAAGCCTCTCGTCGTTTTCACCGCATTTGCCCGTGAGCACGAGGGGCAAGGTGCGATAGATGGATTTGAAACGAGGAGCAGATTGATCAGAAGGTAAAATCACAAACCTCCAGTTCTTTAAATGATTAAACACCAAACCTGTTTGTGGAGGAGGCCTCAGAAAATACTCCACACGACAGACGTGTGGCGGTTCTTTCAGTTCATTGTATAAAAACGGATCATGCAGGATTCAAGTCATTGTAGTTGGTTTGTGTAGAATGTGCATGGTGTGTGTTTGTGTGTTTGTGAAGCTGCCTTATGTTGGGGGTGGGGGGCGTTTTCCAGGCTTCCATTTTGAAGCTAAGATGGATGCTCGTGCTCACTTGTTTCTCATGATGCCTGTGTGGCCTCATCTTGCTCTTTATGTAACACACCAGGCTGCTGGTTTAACACCGAGGCCTCAGCAGCTTCATGTGTCCAGAGAAACACCAACAACGTGGTTTTACATCAGGACTCGATGGAGATTCGATCCCAGCACAAGTGAAATTCATGCAGAGGAATTCTCACTGACAGTGAGAGGAAGCTGCCGATGATGTGATCTGATCCCTGGGTATTAATTCATATTCAGGTTTTATATCGCTGAGACTAAGTCAGATAATAAAAACATTGACTCTTGAGCTCCGTTAATGAATCACAGGAAAATATTTATCAATTTAAACATGTTTTCTTTCTGATTCATTGAAGCCAGAACTCTGGACCCTGAGGTTTAAGAAAATCTCTTCTTTATTTTTGGTTTTATGATTTTTGAAGTACTGATATTACTAATGTGCCCTGAGAGAATGTTTGCTATAATTTGGTTTTGGACTTGAACTTCCATCAAGATGAACCTGTAGCTTCTTGAGGTTTCAACCACACGTCATGGTCTTCGTCAGGGAAAGCTCGTCGCCTTCACAACACGTTTGATGTTGTGAAGGCGACAACGATCTGCAGTTTCATTAATTCTGATTCATCAGCTGAGGAAGACAATGAACTGTGATTGAAGCAACTATGAAGCCTTTCTCTCAACAGCCGTAAAAACTTGAGGGTTACGCTTCAATTTAAATTTAATCAAGAGCTTTTGTCAGAGATTCAATCCCTGACTTTACTGAAAGCACTTCAGTTCATTAATTTGGGGAGTAGTTGTGAATTGGGCGACATGGTGGTGTTTTCTTTCTCCAGCTCCCTCCCACAGTTCAAACACAGATGGATGTTGGGTTGATTGCAGACTCTGAATTGACCGTAGGTGTGAATGGTTGTTTATAGAAGAAGAAGAGGTATCGATAGCGGATGGTTGAAAGTAAAAGTAAAGGAAGTAGAAGTAAAAGTAAAATGTTTTAATATATTCGGTTTCATTTTGCTCATGTAATGTAACAATGCTGACACTGCTTCCTGTTCTCTGCGCACAGGTTCAACTTCCTGTAGAAGGGACATTTTGAAGATCTTTGTCTTGACCAATCAGAGAGCTTCCCCCCCACTGCCCCCCACTCCGCCGTGTCCGCCCGTTAACCCTCGCCAGGCATCATGGGCACAGCGTTGTCGCTGTCCCCCAGCTACCGAAAGGCAGCGCTGTTTGAGGACGGCCCGGCCACGGTCGGCCACTACACAGCCGTCCAGAACAGCAAGAACGCGAAGGACGCCGCCGCAGCCGCAAAGTCCCTGAAACGGCCTTCCATCATCAGCGTGTTGCCATGGAAGCGAATCGTGGCGGTTTCGGCAAAGAGGAAGGGCTCCAAGAAGCTCCAGTCAGAGGGCGGGGACGGTGGGAAAGGAAGCTCTCCGGACGGACACGGCACCGCCAACTCAGCCTCCAACAGCCTGAAGCTGAAGAAGTCTCAGTCCTGCGCCAACCTTTCATCTTACACATCCAGCCAGGACCCGTCAGCCACCACCACCACTACCTCCTCACACCTGCCCATCTCCAAGACCCTGGTTAACGTAGCTGCTGTCGCTGCGAAGAAGAACTCCCTCACAGGCCCTGGGATCCAGCAGTCCACTGCAGCGGGCACGCCAAAACGTGTCATTGTCCAGGTAGGAACTTTTTTCTGTCGTTGAAGATTCGATAAATTGGGATATTTGAAATCCTTCTATCATCATTACCCCAAACATTTCTCTTCCGTCTCTTTCAGGCCTCCACCAGTGAACTGATGCGCAGCCTGGGTGAGTTCCTGTGCCGTCGATGTTACAGACTCAAGCGTCTGTCCCCCACGGACCCGGTGCTGTGGCTGCGCAGCGTGGACCGCTCTCTGCTCCTGCAGGGCTGGCAGGATCAGGGCTTCATCACTCCGGCCAACGTGGTCTTCCTCTACATGCTGTGCCGCGACGTGGTCTCTTCCGAGGTGGCCTCCGAGCGCGAGCTGCAGGCCTCGCTGCTCACCTGCCTCTACCTGTCCTACTCCTACATGGGCAACGAGATCTCCTACCCACTGAAGCCCTTCCTGGTGGAGGCGGAGAAGGAGGCCTTCTGGGACCGCTGCCTGGAGATCATCAACCGCATGAGTGGCAAGATGCTCCAGATCAACACCGACCCGCACTTCTTTACGCAGGTGTTTGCTGACCTGAAGAACGAGAGCAAGAAAGAGGAGGAGAAGACCAAACTCCTCATAGGCATCGACCGATAAGAAGGAGACGGGAGGGGGGAAGAGAGGATGGATAGAAAGATGGATGGAGTTGATAGGTTGATGTGAAGAATTGTAGTGATACCTTGGAGTAGAGCTGTTGTCTGGCGTCTCTACTGGTTTGTTATTCACCAAGTTTCTTGTTTGTTACTCAGAGCAAAGAGCTTCTGGGATTAAGGATAAATTATTTCATTGTGATATTGAGCCACATAAACACTCACAGGCTCTCAGACGGAGGTCGTTGGTTCTGGTCACGTTATTTGACATGTTACATGTTCTGTACATTTTCACGAACAATGTAAAAGACAACACGGACAAGGCTGGGACACATTTGATCTCATGCCTGCACTTCAGGCTTCATGATATTTCATGAACGAGATGAGAGAAACAAGTATTTATCGTCTGTTTGCTGAGATCAGACATGAAATCTGATTCCTGTTAAAGTCCCGATTTGGGTTTAGAAACGCCAGACAACACAGATTTACAGAACCAAGGGTGAACATTATTATAAATATAAGGAATATTGATATTGTGTGATAGCGTCCAGGCATTTTTGCTATAGGGAAATGTCAGCGTATTGAAAAATACAAATCACGCTGCATGAGGTCACCTCATATCTTCTTGCACATGACCACCCGCTTATTGCCAACTCCATTTTTACCTTGTCCCTTATTGTCCTGCCCGAGCTTATTGCACTCACCTACACTGGCTGCGAGACTTTAAGAGCATTAACTAATTCACCATAACCAGCCAGAATCTACCAGAACAAAACCAGTCTGCAAACTGGTCGGCAGACCGGACTGTGAAATTCACATCCTGATTAGGTGTAATCGTGCTGAAGCAGATTAATTGATTCGTTTTAGATCAAGTTTAGAACTTAAAGGGGAACATGTGGGTTTATCCAGACACATCTGCTGTGAATTAGAAGATCCCTCGTTTTATCAGATTAACGATCATTAAACGAGTTCTGCTGAAAGCTGTTTACTTTTACAAAAATATAAAGGGAAAATGCAATACTGACCCCTCTAGGGAAAACGAGGACTTACTTCATTCCTTCTTTTCCCCTGCACTTTGTCCTGCATTGGTGCTGTCCTGAAGGAAGACAGAAATAAGGTGCTTCACACTGTATGAATGATCGGCGGAGCTGAGTCATGGAGGACATGGATCATGCGATCTGTCTGAACCAACAGCCACAAACCTCAGAATGAAAGATTCCAGATGTGCGAGGTCGGGGGCAGATGTGACCTTTCTTCCAAAGCATCGCTTCAGTGTCGCCGCTCAGCTCGAGGGACCCCTGTTCTCTCTCCTCCCCCCCTCGCCACTCATTTCTCCCCACTTCGACCTGGACGAACCGGTCAGTCTGGTCTGGTGCCGTCCAGCCCGGCTGTCCCATGTATACAGACTCTGTGGTCCCCTGACCCGACGGCTTAATATTCAGTTGTTTGATATGCATGTGTGCTTCTATAGGTTTCCTAGCATGCTGCTTTGTGTTGGGCACACTGCACCACACGTTACAGAAGAGACTGAGCATTCACCGTGCTGAACCGCTGCGAGTCAGACTCCGTGATGTGACATCCACTCAGCTGATGGACGGATGGTTGAATCCACAGATTGCACATGAAGGCAAATCCAAACATTGGTCCTTTATCAAACCTGTCCTCTTGATTCCAGGGTCTAAAAGATCCTTCAGGACTAAATTGTTTTCAAAAAATACAAAACAGGTTTTCCAGCGAAACGTCCCCTTAACAGATGATTTTTAAATTAGGACACAGCTGCTCCAGATGTTTCCTGAGAGGAGATCCTCTGCTTTGATGATGTCACATCACCAAGTCTGCCATGTTAGAAAAGCTCTGCCTTCTCACGCGGGGCAGAGATCTTGTGCCATATCGTTCTAAAGACTCGTTATTTCATACAAAAAAACAAAACAAAGGAAATACAAAGATACATGAGCCAACTCAAAGTCTGTGACGGCTGAAGAAGAGAGACTCTCCTGGAGAAACCTTTTCACAGTGTTGTTGTATCAGGTATCAGATCTGTGGACCAGAAGAGAGACTTTGTTCAGAGTGATGTTAATGCGCAGGGAAAGTTTATGTGCCACAAAATGTAACTTGTAAGAGTCGGGGGGGGGGGGGGGGGGGGGGGGGGAAGCCGGAGCACTCAGCGTTGTGTTTTCGAGTTTATTAATTTTTGGTCTGATGTGAAAATGAAGAATCAAAGTATTGAGGAAGCAGAATGATGCCTGTTCAGAGCTGCTGTCTCCACATGAGAGGTGATTTCACTCTGGTTGTGTTCCGATAACAAAGCGACTGGGCTGCAGTAGATACCACGCTGTTAAAAACTAACATGTAGCCTCGATCCAGAGTCCGACCTCATGAGACAAATATGCACATGAAGAATGAATCCACGGGAAACGAGCTTGTTGGCACATCCGTCCTCCGAGCTGTTTCTGACGGGCTGAACAGTCCATAAGTAGCATCCCTCCGAGTCCCAACACGACTGTTGAATAATTCTTCTTTAGTTTGTGCTGTTATTTGGGGGTGAGAACGTAAATATCCCTGCAGGTTAACAGAATCATTTAAAGGTGCTGTGTGTATGTTTTCTCCAGTTCAGCATCAAACTTCATGACTGTGGGAGCCGTCTCTTCTCGAGGAACGCAACGCCAATCTTAACCATTGCTTTGCTTCTATCTCTACCGTTCTGTCGCTGTGACTCAATTCAGAGGCTGCATCCTTCAGAGGCTGCATCCTTCAGGCGCTGCATCCTTCAGAGGCTGCATCCTTAAGAAGCTGCATCCTTCAGGGGCTGCATCCTTCAGAGGCTGCATCCTTCAGGGGCTGCATCCTTAAGAAGCTGCATCCTTCAG